TTAGTACTTTTAAAGGCTATGTTTATGTTGAATTTTCTGAATATTTTAGCTAGTTCATATGACACACGGCGCAAGACAGGAATAGAACCAGAATAAACCTTAGGAACAATGTAATTAGAATTAAGTAAGATGGTGGGATAGGACAATCTAAATTTGTTGAAAAATCTGAAATACATTTTATTAAGAAGTTCTAAGGGGAAACCATTGTTGATAGCAAGTTGTTTAATTAAATCTATCTCTTTATTAAAGTTTGATTCTGACAAAGGGATAGTGAAAGCTCTATGTAGAAAACTATTAAAGGAAGCTTTTTTGTGTGACAAAGGGTGGCATGAGTCGAATGGTACCATTCGAATGGTACCATTCGAATGTCGTAAATTCTCCACCATTTTCTCATTTAACTTCACCGTTGGATGACGAAAGTGTCAAGTGAATTTTTCTAAAAAAAGTTAAGTTAATATTTAATGATAGCCCTTAAGCTTAGGCTTAACGGTGTACACGAGCGGGACTCCGTCTAACCCATTTGTACTGGGGATAGGGGGAGTAGTGGTATTTCCCCCAAAAGTAACTCTTTCTACATGGTGCCTTAAGCACACATGTGGAACTTTAAAATTGATCTCTTTCGAAACCACCTTCATTAGATGGAGGCAGGCGAAATTCAAAATTGAACAGGATCCAACCTCGAATGAGGGAGGCAGTATGTGCCAATTTTTACAATTTTTTACAATTTTTACAATTTGACTTTTTAATTAGACATACTTATTTTTCTGTGGACACATAGTGGTAAGACACCTAGCATTTCTATAAAAAACGTTTTGTTATCCTTAAATCATTATTGCAGTTTGTACCTACCTACTCACTTACAAAAAATTTTTTGCCTGATGATGACCTTTTAGGTCGAAAGCGCTTGCAACCCAACCTAATAAATTTATGTGGTCGACAGACTTTGAGCCTTTTACTTCCCTTTATTCTACTTCGGACCACTTTGAGATATGGATAATATTTGGAATTTACGTCATTTTTGGACGTCTAGACATCCAAAATTGAATATCGAATGGACGTCCAATGGACATATTTGTATTGTCTGGGTAATAGCCAGGCCAGGTATTTAACTCTAAATACATAAACCTTAAATGACATCTGGTTTAACTTGGCGAGAAAACACTTGTTTCTACAGAAATGAGTGTTTCTATTTATTTGTATTTATAATTTAGAAAAGATTCCAAGATAAAATTCCAATGTACTGATTAGAAGGATATTCTGTTACAGTTCAACGTCAATATGTTAGATTTTTCACTTTTATCAGATAATTTCAAAAGGAACTTACACGTATGTATCATCATATCAACACAATTGAGATATCTTCATAATTTATATGTACTTTCCCTGGTAAAATTTCATACTTTCACTTGGAGAGACTTTTAAGCACGACACGTTTACTAAAGCGACCATAATATGTTAACTAATAGCCGTCATCAATGTAATGTTTTATAAATGCAATTTATTTGGACATTAACTTCAAATTTCAATGGAGCAAGATACCCATTAACCAAACAGAGACAATGTAAATATTAATTAATTTATTAATTTTGGATCTCATTTCTCATTTCATTTCATCATAATCCTTTCATTTTAACATTTTCTGTCAAGTTTTTAGTCGTCATGTTTAAGTAAAGCGAATATTTTAAGGTAAGAAATAAATACGATTAACTACAAATTACTTTTTAATATTAAAGTAGTTTTTTTTATTATTGCTAGAAATTCATACTGTGCATCGTTCAGGTTAGGATGCTATGACACGGCTATGGGTAATATAATGTAATGTAAAGTTTTAATTATTTTTCTTTGAGTTTGGTAAATTATGATGAATGCCCATTTCTCAAAACCAGGCAGAATAAAATTTAGATGTGCTGCTCCTCTTTGCAGTAACATTTTTTATTCGCCTATGTATAACAAAACCTATACAAACATTCAGTTTTTTTTTCATTCCCAATGACTCTGGAAAACTGGTTTACAACCTTAAATTTGCCATTTACATCAAATAGAAAATATTTATGTATTAAACATTTCTGTGACAGTTTTAAGAAAAGGCTCACTAAGTTTGCAGCTCCTATAATATGTACATTAAAAAATGTTCAGAAAAAATCATGTAGTAACAGAAGTTAATGATGCAGCAGGTTGCTTTCACAATTTAACCACATCACAAGGTTGCAAAATAAAAATTGGGAATGACACTGCAAGCTACTTTCATAGTACATCTATCGAAACACCTATTCCATTAGAATCTACTCTTACAACTGTTGAATCTACAACAACAACAACAACAACAACAACAACTGTACTCTTACAGTCTTAGGTACACCTAAAAGAAAATCTAAAGGAATATTAAGTAAAATAAATTTAAATAAAATAGTTGATCTCACACCAAGGAAGAAAAAAATGTACAAATTTGTGGCACAACTATCTAATAAAATTTCTAAATTAAAAAAAATCTTTTAAACTCTTTAAAAAATTAAATAAAAACAATGTAAATTTTCAAATACAGTTGATTTTGAAGAAATCATTGCAAAATATGATTTTTTTTTAAATTAAACTCCTAAACAGCACAATTAAAAATTAAAGGAGAAATCCCTTATGGACTGTAGATGAAAAAGCTGTCATTAGCCCTCTACAAGAAAGGTCCTCGGGCTTATAATTTTTTAAGATCATTAATACCTCTTCCGAGTAAAACTACAATATTTTAATCATTAAGGAGTATTCCTTTTGATACAGGTATCAATGAATCCCTATTTTCGAGACTGGCTGAAAGAAAACTATGAATGAAATTGATAAAAACCGTACCCTAATATTTGATGAAATCGCATTATCAAAACAATTGACTGTTGATAGTTTTAAGGATAAAATAACGGTTTATGTTAATTTGGGTCATTTAGGAAGACAATTACAATTTGAAGATCATGCACTTGTGTTTATGGTACGTGGTATAAGAAAGTCGCCAAAGCAGCCTGTTGCATATTATTTTACAAAAGATAATATACCCTCTGCAAATCTAAAACATATTTTAATAAAAATCATAGCTAAATTACAAAAAAGAGGTCTTTATGTTTTAACAACAATATGCGATCTAGGAGCTACAAATCGCAAGACAATAAGAGAATTGCGGACCGATCGATTGATAAAACGACCAGGTCCTTACTTCTTTGTAAATGGACAAAAAATATTTACTCTCTACGATCCTCCACATTTATTGCACTCGTAATGTATTTTTTAAATACGACATTAAATTTGGAGAATACAAGATTGCTGAATTTGCACACTTTGAAAAACATATGATATAGACAGTTTATAAAATTAAAGATTACCATTTAAATGCGACTAAAAATGCTAAGGTTAAATTGAAAGTTTCTATAGCTGCAAAGGTAATGTCCCATACTTGTGCTGCAGTAATAGAAAGTGTAATTTCAACTGCACCTGGGTTGCTACCTGCTAAAGCAATTTATACGGCTGAGTTTATAGGTGATATTGACAAACTATTTGACAGTTTAAATGGTAATAGCCCGAATGGTGAGTCACATAAGCCACTTAGTAAATGCATGTCTGTTAAATACAATCATTTAGAATTTTGGAATAAAATGTTACCAAAAATTCGATCATGGGAATTTCATGATCCAAAAAACAAAGAATTTAAAAAAGTATGTCATTTAAAGCATGTTAGATTCTGACTATACAAACAATTATTTAAGGAATGTCAAAAGAAGGCATTTAATATTTAAGGACACGAAATTTAAATCAAGACCCAGTCGAAAATAATTTTTGTGCAGTCAGACAATACGGGGCTGGTAATGTAAACCATAATTGTTATCAATTTATTTCATCTCTGAAAACTTCAATTTTAAACAGTTTAATAGTTTCCAGAAATAACAATAAAAACTGTGAATCAGATAACTCATCCATTTTAGATGATTTAAAAACTTTTTTAGTTTATAATGATAAGCAGCGACCCCTACCATATAAAATAGAAAATCCCCTAGATTCTTTATCCTGGCCAACAAGTTACTATCCCAATCTAAAACCTGTACAATTTGATTCACAAGCCATTTCATACGTGTCAGACTTCATTACTTTGTGATTTTTATTTATTTTTCTTTATTATTTTTAGAGTTTTATACTTATTAGAAATATTTTTATGTTAAGGATTTATATTTTTTTTATTTATTTTTTTCATAATATGAAAGAATATTAACTTTATTTTTTTCTACTATTGTATTAAAAACGTTTTTATGTAAAGGATTTCTATTTTTTTTATTTTTTTTGATGTCATGAAAGAATATTAACTTTTTTCTGGTATTTTATTAGAAATGTTTTTATGTTAAGGAATGTTATTTTTTTAATTTTATTTTATTGTTTAATATATATAGTTTGTTATATATTTTTTACTTTTTATTTTAAAATTTTGTGATTTTAATGTTCATTTTTTCTTTTTTATGTTACCAAAGAATTTAATTTTTATTTGTGGCAATATAAAATATTTGTTCTTAGTGTATGTTTACTTATTAATACCTTCTGCCTAAAAACAATTCCTTTTCGATATATAAATATGTTGTTAATGAGTTTGTAACTTTGCACGCAATTCGATATTTTTTTGTAAAAAATTACAGATTTTCATTTCAAGTGTTGATATTACCGCCAACATTTAAATTAAGTGAAATCTGCAATGTCGGTAAATTTAAAATTCGTGCTCGTTGCCAAGTGTGTCGCCACAGTCGACGCGCACGCAACGTGCTTCCTGAAATTTGAACCGTAATTGTCACTAGCGATGGGCATAATCGGATTATTTCAATAATCGGTTACTGGCGATTCGAGGATTTTCATAATCGAATTATCCTCGGATGATCCTCGGAATCTAATCTGTCACCTGTCACTTGTCATCGTTCATTCTTGCTTTAATAGTATCCAAGGTCAAGCAATATTTACGTTTTTAAACTAAAGATAAAATGATAAAAATGCGTCCGAAGTCAATTGTTTGGAAATATTTTAAAAAAGTTGATGGCAAGACAGTTACTTGCCAAATTTGTAAAAAAGATTTAAAATATTTTGGCGGTACAAGCAATATTAAACAACATTTAATTAGAATCCACCCAATCCAGTTTGCCGCCGAAAATGATACCCCTACGGAAGAAGAAAGTTATTTGGAAGTCACTGAAGTCTCAACACCACAGCCTCAAACTTCTAATATTACAAACAAAATTCAAGAAACACAAGAATTTACTTCTCTTTCGGGTCCTTCTGGCGTAAATACATCCACATCAGAAGTCATATCAAGAAAAAGACCCAAGCAATTAAAATTATATGGTGGTGAAAGCAATGTTGAGATATCGGAAACAAAAATACAGCAAATTGATAATGCTTTGATCAATATGCTAACCAAAGATTATCAACCCTTGTCTTTGGTTGAAAATCAAGGATTTTTGGAATATTCAAGAGCTTTGCAACCTTTATACAAACCTCCTAGCCGAAAAAAAATTACTTATGATCTATTACCAAAAAAATACGCAGAAGCAACCTCAGCCTTAAAAAACATTTTAAGCAATGTGAAATATATTTCACTCACAACAGATATCTGGACTTCTGATAGTACAAGGGCTTATATTACAGTGACTGCACATTTTGTGAGTGAAGACGTATTGTGTTCAGGCGTTTTAGCAACACGTGAACTACCCGGATCCCATACCGGAGAAAATATTGGCACGGCTCTAAAAAACCTTTTTAGTGAATGGGACATTGAAAACAAAATAGTGGCAATTGTTTCGGATAATGGGGCTAATATTAAAAATGCCATTACAGAACACCTTCAACTACACCATGTTCCATGTGTGGCGCATACATTAAATTTGATAGTGAGCGACTCCTTAAAAAGTGAAACACTAGAAATTATTTTTAAAAAATGCCGAAATCTGGTGGGACACTTTAAGCATAGTAGCCTGGCAAGTGACAAACTAAAATCGGTTCAGGAGCAAATGCGACTACCGCTATTAAAAGTCAAGCAAGATGTGCCAACTCGATGGAACTCCTGCTTTATCATGCTTAAAAGATTAAATGAAATAAAAGAACCTCTATGTGTTGCTTTGGCCAGTTCGACGAAACCACCTCAGTTTCCTACTGTAGAGGAGTGGGACATAATTAATGAAATCATTAAAGTCTTAAAATCTGCTGATGATATGACTACAATAATTTCTAGTCAGAGCTACCCTACTTTATCAATGGTAATTCCTTTAGTTCGAGGCTTTCAGTACACCTTGAGAAACATTAATACGGTTACAGAAGTAGGCACGGCACTAAAATTAAAATTGCTTGAAACCATGAATCGTCGATTTGGTGGATTTGAAACCAGCAAAATCGTAGCAAAAGCGTCATTCATGGACCCGCGATTCAAGAAGTTGGCTTTCGGTAATGAGGAAAATGCTAATAGTGCAGAAAAATGGGTATCAGAGGAATTAAAGCTAATGTTTGCCCTTAAAAAAAATCAGACATTCAATATTCAGTCGAGTCAACAACCTCAAGCAGAAGAACAGGAAGAAAATATTTTGCCTAACATTTGGGCTCATTTTGACAAAAAAATATCAGCGGTAAAGACATATTCAACTCCGGCTAGTATGGGTATGATAACAATTAGGCAGTATTTAGAAATGGAAATATTAGACCGAAAAAAAGATCCTTTCCTAGAATTTTGGGCCAAACATAAACTTAGTTTTGCAGAGCTATACGATTTAGCTTTAAAATACTTAAGTATTCCAGCAACTTCTGTGCCTTCCGAAAGAGTTTTTTCCAAAGCCGGACAGCTAACTAATTCTAGAAGAAATAGACTTTCTCCAAAAAACCTGGATCAGATTATATTTTTAAATTCTCAGTTTTAAAGCTTGCTTTTCTCTCGTTATCTAGATTTAAAATTATTATTGTTTTGTTTGCCAAAGTTTCATTTATTTTTTTTTAACTTAGTTTTACTCATTAACAGGGTATATATTTTTATTTTTAGGTTTATTAGTTTTGTTGTGATATATGTGCATTACTTACATACCAAAGAAAGATTAGTTTTTAAATCGATCGATTGTGCCTACCTAATATGTACTTGTTTATTAGTTTTGTTGTGATATACCTATGTGCATAAATTACATACCAAAGAAAGATTAGTTTTAAATCGAACGATTGTACCTACCGAATATGTATAGTGCTTTTCAAATATATTCCTGTATTTTGTTTTTGTTAATTTTTTTTTAATGTTTATTTTCAATCATTTATTTAGTAATAAACTAATCTTCACATTTTATTATATTTCACTGTAAATCATTACAAATTTTAAAAAATGCAACTTCTGACCCATTCAATGAATAGAGTCCCATGTGGTCCCGTCCCAAATGTATCAATTATATTAAGGTAAGATGGGGCAAGTGCGCACCGATTTTTGAATAGTTGACATTTGTTACTAAGTGTAAGATTTATGATTTACTATATGGTTTTCAACTTTTGGGCATCAGTTTGTTAGTAGAATGTCCAAACAAATCTATAAGTAGATATACGCTGGATAACGGTTCATACGCTACAGCCATATTTTTTAAAAAAATTGCAAGATAGCGCACTTTTTAAAAATTTTGGGGCAAGTGCGTTTCTATCTGTTTAAATATAATGTAATTCATTAAAATTGTTTTTGGGGTAAGATCGTGCTAAAGGCAGGTTTGAGCTATTTTCTCCCGTTTGCAGAATTAAAATAAGTTGATTGGTTTAAAAGTTACAAACTATATAACAGGAAAGAACTAAATAAAATTTTCGAAGTAAAAGAAAAAATATGTGATTTATTCTCAAAATAACTGATTTAAAGTACGTTAGTAACATAAAGTAATTTTTAATTAATTTGTGTATTGTTAAGTAAGGTTAATGTTAAATTTATGAAAGTCAAAATCGAAAATCCAAGCATCTCCTCGACGATCTAATTTTGGATCAGGCAAAACCTTTATAATATCCGTATTGGTCACATTATCTAAATCTTCTGTTTCTGGCCAATAAAATTTCCCTTTATTATGTTTTGTGAATTTTACAGTCCATTCGTCGTTACCAATTTTATGGGTAACCTGAAAGTGATAAAAATAAGTAAAACGTACTTACTGATAATTTATTTAAATGAAGCAATACCTGTCCGACATAATGTCGTGTTGTTTTCTTTGTATTATATTGGACAACGATCCATCGGTCTACCTCTATACTTAACAACGGATGCAGGTTCTCTGCATTAGATACCTCCTCATTAAAATCGCTGTCTGTATCAAAATCATCGTCAGTGTCAATGTATAAAGGTTCTTCTTCATTATTAGAGGAACTACTCGGTGACTCTAAAATTTTTTTAACATGTCTTTTACCTTTTGAAGTTTTCTGACTTTTTTTTGAAACTTTTCCCTTCTTTATAAAAGTTTTTTTCCTTTCCAGTTCTGCAGCTTTGTTCTTCTCCACTTCTGCCATTCTGGCAATAGCTTCCAGCGACGTTATCACTTCAGCACCACCAGCAATTCGTCTTTTTGGTTTAGCTGCGGGTTGCTTTGTTTGATTAATTTTTTGCAAAAGAAGATCTTCAAAGGAAACTAGCAGAGAAGACGAAGTTGATGGAACAGGTGTAGGTGGCTGTTCGTTCGAGTCAACCAATTGTTCTTTATCTTCTGAATCTAGTTGTCTATTATCAAACGTGGGTTCATTTACAATTACTAACGGTTGTTCAATTTCTCTATTTCTCTGAGCAGTAGTAAGTGGTTGCAGCTGTATGGCTGCCTTATGCTGTTTCCAACGAAGTAACGCAGAGGGCTCGAATTTATCTTCAGGAATCACTTGGTCATTAAAGGGTATAATTCCTCCTTTCTTAAATCCACTAATGATTACATCAGTCTTTAAATCTATCCAAGTTTCTGCTACCAGAGTAGAAAACTGCACCTTCGGAATTTTATACCCTGAATTTGTACGTTGCCACGCAACCAATTTTCGATCCCACATATCCTTTAAAGGCTTAAATACTGCCAAGTCAAGTGGTTGTAGTAAATGGCTTGTATGTGGGGGAAGCTTTAAGATCGTAATCTGTTCTCTAACTGCAAGTTCTACAATACTAGCAGTAACGTGAGTACTATGGCCATCGTATAGTACTAAAACTGGACGACTATCACCAAGAGTAGGAATAAAACTTTTTTCGAAGTAATTACGGAATATGTCCGACTCCATCCAACCATTAGAGGAGGCTGCATAGACCGTTCCTGGAAAAATTTCCGTTTTAGGAAGCCACTCATTCCAGATATTTTTGGCTTTAAATATAATAAGCGGTGGTGCCTTTTTTCCTGAAGCACTTGCTGCTGCAAGTACTGTGGTACTTTCCCTTCCTGGGCCACTCGTTGTTCGAGAACATGGTTTTCCACGTGCACCTACTACTTTAGTCTTGGACGGATCTAACGACATGGCAGTTTCATCTAAATTCCAAACTTGGTTTGGTTTGTCAAGTAAAGCAAAATTTTCTAATGTCGACTTAAGTAATTGAAAGTATTCATATATAATAAAAGGATCTGTATTCTTTTTTCGCGAATATTCAACACTTTGGGGTTTTTTAATCGATAGCCCATGTCGTTTTTTAAATCCTAGAAACCAGTCTTCGCCCGGCTTGTTGTTTTTAAATGGTGTTTTTAAATTATTCTCTTCCACAAAAATTCTGACAATTTCCATTATCTCATACCTAGATAACCCAAACCCCCATTTCTCTAGGGATTTTATTCCATCTGCCAATTTTACTTCCAAGTCAACAGGTATTGCAGGTGACCTACCCATGTTACAGCTTTTAAGACCACGTTTTTTTTTTACATGATCGCGAATTGTTGTCGTTGGTATGTTATAGGTTTTTGATGCTCCTCTTATTGTAATCACTCCTTTGCTTACATCTTCCACTACACGTTGTAGAACTTCTGCTGTATATTTAGTAGCTCTATCACTTTTTCGTTTATAGTTGCGCATCTTCCTAAAATTATAAATGGTTTTTATAATGTGTGGGGTAAGTGCGCTCTAAGAACGCACTTGCCCCGTGACCAATGAACGAACTTGCCCCAGTTCCAAAAAATTCAGGGGCAAGTGCGCTCCTCATCTTTACAAACTATAAACTTACTACTAACAATTTTTAATCCCTACAGTGTTCACAAGTTATAATAATTATAGTTAGTGACAAAGAAGCAAATATTCTCACCTGTATTTTTCTAATTTCTAGGCAGTGCACAAGAATCTTCGTTATACTCGCTCCGAAAGCCAACATCAAACTGAATAACAACCGTTTGGTAACCTTGAAGCGCGCGGAGGTGTAGAGCAAATTAATAGAGATGGGACATTTTATTATTTATAGTACTACTAGTGGAACGGGTCGCACGTAATATTATATATTTTTCGTGTTATTTATTAGCCATAGTCGCTCTTACCCCAGAAACGCTCTTACCCCACCTTACCTTATATAGTTCACTGAATCTATCTCATTTTTTTCTACCCTATATCAATCCCCAGTTGGACAAGGTGTTTCGCACTCCCGCTTTGCGCACCCGAATCGGAGGTTATGACGTGCACTGACAGCTGACAGCGATTCGTTTCTCTAGACATTGGTTGATCCGAACGAATATTTAACCGAATGAATCCTCGGAACAAATAATCGGATTATACCGAGGATTTTGATACTCGGATTACCGAGGATTTTTAATTCGAATGATCCCATCACTAATTGTCACTCTGTTAATGTCTTCTCTCTGAAGGAACCCCGTCTGCTGTGCATCAGATCCTTTGTCTACCCTGGATCGGGAGAAGATAGCTGAGGCAGATGCCTGACGAGTGGTAAAGTCACCCATTTTTTTAAGGTACTGATTATGTATTTTTTATATAATATTGCAGCTGAGGTTTGTGACATAGACTTTTTTATAACGCCTGTTGAAAATCATTTCTGTATTTATTTTTCAACATTTCAATTATTTCTTTTATTTGCCTAAAGGTATAAGAATTATATAAACATATTTATTTTACTTGAGGTTTTTTAAATTGTTTTCTGTAGACCCGTTGAGAGCATTAAACAAAAAAAAAATAATAAATATAATAAATTCAAATACTGCATTGGCTAGCTCAGACGGGGTTCGATTTGTGATATACTAACAATAACACTGCTTAATTTAGCACTGTAGGTATATTAAAAAAAATACAACACCCTTGATGGTAACAAATGGAATAAAATTACAATAATGGTTAGCCGATAACATATAATGACGGCTAACAACCCATTTTAATTCTCAAATCAGTACCATTTGGCCACCGGTCGAAACCCGACTGACTTATTGTTAGTGTTGTGCGATGTTCATCGATGTTTTGAAAACATCGATGTTTTGTATTCGATGGTCGATGCTTTTGCCATCGATGTTGATAGCACCAGATATCAATGTTACCATTGAAAGAAATACGTATATCGGTTATGAAAATTTAAAGGTAGCAAGTAATTTTTTATTATGATTTTAGTAAGTACAAAAGGTAAGATGCCTCCGAAAAGTAATGTATGGAAATATTTTGATAAGACAAGTAAGGAATACTCCATTTGTAATTTGTGTAATAAGAAAATTAAGACTTGTGGAAACACGTCAAATCTAAGATGTCACATTAAATCTATACATAATAAAGAAGTATTTAAAGTGCAATCTGCTGTCACTGCTGATAGTAGCAGTGTAGTATCTAGTTATTGCTCTTTAGTCTCAACCTCAGGTACAACTGATAATCTTGACATCGATCCTGATGAAAATACTAATTTAATATGCAGCGAAATAAGTAAAGAAGGAAGTATAAGAGATGCTCAAAAGGAAGAAAATGAACCCAAAAATCTTAA